AAAATCTATAATTAGTAATATTTTTGCAAATGAACACCCTTAAGTGACATTTTTGCAAATATGCACATAAAAATGACATTTTTGCAATTTTCCAAATTTGGAATTTATTAAAATTTCCCTGTCAATTATATTTTATTCTATTTACTCTACTAGTTCCACTAGTCCCTACCATTTGTACCAAGTAAAACTTCTTTTCAATTTAACAGCTTAGACTTTACATACCGATCGGTCTTTGGGACGGGGTGAATTTGCAGCTGTTAAATTAAATTTGGCCTTGTGTTGAAGTGCGTTGTCAAGAAAGTTGTATCTGCGAGTAGTCTTTCTTCCAAATTGAGACGGTGAAGAGGCTCTACCTATGTCTTTTTTACTGACTCTACGAACAGGTATTGTCCGTATGGGACAGTTTCCAGATTTGGACCAAATTTGAGACGTAATTGGTTTAGAAGAACCGTTGTTCGGAATAATAGTCTTCTTTGAACCAAACTCCACACTCGGTTTCATCTGCATGCATAAGATATAAAATGGGTAAAGTCATAAACAAATAAATTGCAAGTAATTTGGTCTTGAAAACCAAATAGTTAGCGTGTGTAGAATTTGTTTACCTGAATCTTGTGGTTTCTTAAGGCAGGATGATCAAAAGCATGTTGTTTATAAATATCTACACAATCTATTATATCTCCATCCTCACTCTACAAATAAAATTATAATCGATTTGAGAGCTCGGAAACGAAGAAAAACATACACAAAAAGTAATATATTAATTTGCATTTAGATTCCATCCATTACCTTGATGGTCTTCAACGCAGGCTTATTAAGAGTCTTCAATTTCATATCAATATCTAAAGAAAATTTACCACAGGCTTCACTGTAAAAGCCACACAGAATCGCAAACATAAAGAACAATCTCATCGTGGCTTATTTGTCTTTTTTTTTTGCTAGGTTGAAAAAATAGATTTAATTAGGATATAAGGCTTTAAATCTTGAACCTTCCTAATTTCCTATTTATAGAGTTTTACAAAACCAAATGTTCTATTTTTTTTTGTATTTAGTTAAACACACAACAATTGAAAAAACGGAAACCTCATAGATTATACAATTTAAATCCATCTTGGAGATTTGGCATACGTTTGGTCAATTCTCTGTGTTGTGCTATGAAAGAAAGATTTTAACAATTAGCAATATAAATGCTCCAGTAATTACTATATTTTCTAAACATTTTTTATTTTGCTTTTAAAGTCGGTGCAAAACGTCATTAAGTGTATATTCTCCGTTGACTATCTTTTTTTAACGAATAATGTTTCATCCTGTTAATTAATTTTTTCCTTCTTTGTCAAAAAAAAACAATTTTTTAAAACTAATTATTACATTCAATGAGATTTATTTAATCTTCCTCTCGTAATATATCAAGCATGAACTTTCACAATTCAAAATGGTTTTACTGTCCACTCTATGGTTCCTTTCTTCACACACAAAAAAAAAAAAACTGTTCAAGTTGGTTAAAAATCATAATTCTATGGTCTTCAAAGAAATTAGTAAATCACCATCACCATCTTTGCTAAGAATTTTTCTCTGTTTGAACCCATCTATAAATATTCTCTCCCTATTTTATTTTGGGCCAATAAGATAATTAAAAAAAATGTTGTCAGCTAGATATATAATATTTTGGTGTAAATGTTGGGTAAATTAGATTATTATGAAAATCTTCAGATGATTATTCCCTTTTGTCTTGGATGATATCTAATGAAGATTTACTACCAGTTTTCCCAAAAATTTATCTCTGGAAAAAGTAATCTTTCTAATTTCTCTCTAATTTTTTGTTGAGAAATTTCAAAAAATGTCATTTTTTAAGTGACATTTTACAAAAATGCCACACTTTTGAAATATTTACAAAAATACCATTTTTTAAAATTATTTTTTTTATATTATTTATGTTTGTGTTAACTATGTTCTATTAAAGTTTAGTTACAAGGGTTTAGGGGGTTTTAGGGGTCAAAATATTTTTTATGTTTAGAATTTTAAGATATATGGTTTAAAAAAACTATAATTAGTGGCATTTTTGCAAATGCACACCCCTAAATGGCATTTTTGCGAATGTGCACAAAAAAAAGTGACATTTTTA